TGCGCCTCCTGATTGGCCGCGTGCCTCGCGCCCCTGCCTCCCATTGGCTTAGTTAGGGGAGGGGGGCGTCGCACCCCCCCTCAGGGGATTGGCTGCCGTTGGCGGCGGCGGTGGGGAGGCGAGGGTATATAAAGGGGAGAGGGTGTGGGGGGACCCTCAGTCCAGTCTGAGGGGAGGGAGGGGGTGGTGGGTCCTTAGCGCCCCCCTTGGACACCGTTATGGGTCCCAGCGGGGTTGGGTGGCCCTAGGGCTTGGTGTGGAGGGGTGGCAGCCCTTTCCCCACCACCATATCCCAGGATGGGGTTTGTGTGGTCTTCCAAGGGCAGAGCAGGACCAGGCCGGTGGGTGGGTTCGGGCCTGCTGCTGGCTGCAGAGCCTGTGAGGTGATTCCAGCCATCGAGGGGTTGGAGGAAAGGGTGAGGCCTTTCCTGTGAGCAGAGGCAGCTTCTGAAGTGGAAGCTGTAGTGTTTGTTGCACCTTGGCTAATGTTTTTGGTGTTCGTGGTGGTGGTGGTGGTTGCCTCTGTCAAATGGGCCTGTTCTTGTGGCCTAGCAGAGATACAGCATGTGGACTTGGCCTTGTGGACCTCTTGCTAAGCAGGTTTTGGTGTTGAGATGCCATATTCCCCCCTCCTGTGCCACATTTGCACTAGAAAATTTAATGGGAGCTTGTTAAATCATGAAGTTGGAATGGAAAAATGGAGTCCTGGTGTTCTTTCAGACCACCTCATCCTAAAGAGGCAACTTGCCATAAAAAAGACATTGAGGTGCTGGAGCGGGTCCAGAGAAGGGCGACAAAGCTGGTGAGGGGTCTGGGGAATAAGTCTTATGAGGAGAGGCTGAGGGAGCTGGGGTTATTCAGCCTGGAGAAGAGGAGGCTGAGGGGAGACCTTCTTGCTCTCTCCAACTCCCTGAAAGGAGGGTGTAGAGAGGTGGGGGTCGGTCTCTTCTCTCAAGTCACAGGCGACAGGACGAGAGGAAATGGCCTCAAGTTGCACCAGGGGAGGGTCAGGCTGGATATTAGGAACAATTTTTTCACTGAAAGGGTTATCAGGCATTGGAATGGGCTGCCCAGGGAGGGGGTGGAGGCCCCATCCCTGGAGGTGTTCAAAAGCCGGGTTGATGTAGTGCTGGGAGGTCTGGTTTAGTGATGATGCTCCTTGTTTGTTGTGTGGGTGTCTATTTTTGTCAGTTAGGTTGATGGTTGGACAAGATGATCTTTAAGGCCCCTTCCAACCTAGAAGATTCTGTGATTCAGAGCGTTAAGTTTCCCTGTATGAGACATTTCAAGCTGTGTACGGTCACCTCCTCCCTCTCAACTGCTCGATGTGGACCCTCCAAATGGGTCTTGTGGGGGTCTCTAGATTGGAGTTAAAAACCTGGTTTAGGCTGCTCAGCTTCACAGTCCCGAGAGTGAAATGAAGGGTCAGTATTTGCAATGTGCTTTTTGGTGTCTGTGTGCCTCCCTGTCTAGAGTATTACTGATTTATTCGTGGCTTGAAGGGTCAGTATTTGCAATGTGCTTTTTTGGTGTCTGTGTGCCTCCCTGCCTGGAGTATTACTGATTTATTCGTGGTTCTTACAGGCCTTTAAAGAATGAACAAGCACAAAACTGTGTGTCTGTAAGATGCGTATCAGTGTTTTCTCTTCCAGAGTTTCAATGGGAATAGTGATCATAGGGAGCTTCAGCTTTCTTCTGTTATTTTTTAAGTAATTCAATTTTTTTTGCCTTTCTGTTGGTTATGTTAGAAGATGAAATGCTAATGAATCATCAGCAGATTTTACAAGAGGGTTCTTTGCATCTTTTGTGGAAAGAAAATAACTGATAGTTTCAAGCCTTCTAATGCCTTGGTTTCTAGGGGGAAAAAAAAAGTAAGAAGGTTTATTTCTCTTGTCAGTCCTTAAATGGAGAACTTATCTCCCAAATTCTGATGCTTCTTGGTGCCTTGCTACGTGTGTGTGTTAGGTGTTTAAAATGAAGACAGCTTTATTACCTTGATCATAGGATGAGGTATGGGTGTAATTGTTGTTATCTGATGGAATAATTAACAACTTGTATTTAGAGAGAAATGGGTCTCACTCTCCTCTGGCACCCTTACTACCAACTTGTAAAGAAGATCCCTGGGTGATTTCTCTGATGGTGATTTGCTCTGCAGCCAGCAGCTCCTTCCAGTGTGTTTCTGACCACCTGCAGCTGCAAACTGAATTTTAATTGACTTATAAGTGTAGCTAATTACGGAGGCTGTTTTAGTATTGTGAATTTTGTTTTAAATTAAACATGAGATCGGGTCTATTTGTCACTTTTATTTCATACTAGTGCAACACAGAGAAATGGAATTGTGTTGCAGCCCTTAGCTGGTGTTATATGTTAAATCCCCACCTGTTTTAATGTATAAATAGTCTGATTTTTTCTCAATGGCCTGCAGTGCTTCAGAGGAACAAAAGACAAGTTGGAGGGGTTTTTTAACGTGCACAAACAAGGTAGATTTGTCTTTTTGAATTTTAAGAGCTTGAAGGAGAGGGGTGATTTAATTCAGAGGAGAGACGCGGAGGAGGTTTTGATGCAGACCCTTTATTTTCCTTTTGTCACGTTGAACTTAAATATGTGTTTTCCCCGTTTTCTTGTTTTATCAGACTTCTCCCTCTATCATTTATAGACCAAATCAATTTGGTGGAGAGGGTCACTGCCTCAAGCAGCTGGAGCCTGAGAGTTGTGGTGTGGGCCAGTGAGAGGCGGTGATATTGTAGGGACCTCAGAGGATGAGACACTTGGAAGAAGATGATGTGAAGAACGTGGTCACACGTTCAGGAGGCTGAGAGGAAGAAATTAGCTGCTGGAGTGGATAGGTTCATGTTGAGCAAGTGGGAAGAGAGGTGACCTGAGAAGAGCTTGAAGTGTAATTAACCTCTCTCTTTGCCCACTCAGGTGGAGGACAGAGAAGTGAGAAACACTCTCTTTGCCCACTCAGGTGGAGGACAGAGGAGTGAGAAACACTTGCTTATACAGTAATTAGGACTAAACTTAAAATGGGAACTGCATCTCCAAGCAGGTTTGTAGCCCAGCCCGTGGTAGCTCTCAAGGAGGATGTTAACCTCTCCTCTTGGGACTCACTTGGAGTGCTTGATACCGCCTGTATTTTGTGGTAGAAACAGACTTTCAGCTACTTACCTGATACTTGGTGAGATAATAGTTGCAACAGACTGTCCTGCTCCTGCTTTTAGAGCTTGGGCACTGTCCCTTTAGGAAGGGGACAGTGTGACACACGCTGGATGCAGTACAGGAGAACTGTCCTTGAAGATCTAAGAGATCTTTTCCAGCTCATTGTTGCTTTGATGGATGTGCCCTAAGAATATAGATAGGTGGATTCATTATGCACAATTTGAGTAAAGAGTGAGTTTGTGTTTGGCTGAGCTCCTCTATTTATTATACGACTAAATAAATTGAAGCCATTTTTCCTGGTTTGGAAATAAATAATCTTAGCTGCCCCAGCCCGATGTATGATTTCCATTTCTAACTCGCCAGGAGAACATAAATATTGGGCTTATATATTACCTGATTATCAACTTTCAGCCAAAATGCACCAGAGCCAGGGTTCCTTGAAACAATCTGTGTGTTTGAGGGATGGGAATGCAGAGGAGGAGACGGCAGCGGTGACTCAGTCCCTCAATGAGGTTAGAAACCTTCTTGCTGCAACGAGAGCCTGTTCTTGCCAAGGGATCTCAGGAAATGCACCGACTCTGCCTTCTAGGCAAGCTGGGGTAATTAACTTAAGTGTGGGATGAAGCTTTTTGCAGACACACGTGATGTTCCTTTGGAGCATAATAAATCATTTTCATATTTAAAAGCTGGAGGAAGACCCGGAGCCGTAAAAACGCCCTTTCGTAACAATCTCGCTGGCGCTGAAAAGGAGTGGTCAGTGAGCTCAGTACTTAAAGGATTAAGCTAAGAGCCCCTGCTATTATTGCTGCAGGGAACCCCAATCTATATGCAAGCCTCTTCCAACACTGGATGAGTAAATCACATTAGCTGGTTTATGCCCCGTTATTATAAAGTGGATTCTCCTTTGCGATACTTTATGGCACCCCAAGCAGGGAGGTGGACTTTTTCCCCTTGCCCAGCTTTAATATTCCCCCCATTCTTGTCCTCTCAAGAGAAGGGACAGAAAGGAGCTTTTGGCAGCCCCTGGCTGGGGTGCTTTCTCAGCAGAATGTCCTTAATTAGGCTTTGGAGAGGTTGCTGCAGATGAAGTCCCCAGGGTTTTTGTCTGTGTGTCTTCTCGTGTAGTGCTAGCGTAGGAAGCGATTGTCATTCCTTAATAGCAGGTAGGCCAAGAAAATATGGTTACTGTGGATTTTTTGGAGGGGATGGTGGTGCTTTTCTCTGCATTTCTTGCCTTTGAAGCTCTGTGTGAGTTCACTATAGTCAACTCGTGTAAAAAAACTCCTACACACCACATAGAAAATAAGTGCCTTTGCTGATATTGGAGGTTTTTTCTTAAAGCACCTTTCTCTCCCATTCCCTTGGTGTTAGGGGCCACGGGATGGGTGCTGTGGTGTCTAAAGGTGGGGTGTCTTCTGCTGAGGACCTCACAGCTAACGAGGATGTTGCTGTTGGATAGTGAATGAGGGGTTTTTGCCCCCCGAGTGGTGCTTTTCTCATCCTCTGGAGCTGAATGCGGTGTCTGGGGAAAGCTGGTGGTTTAATTACACAGCTTCAGAGAACACAGGAGAGAAAGGGGTCAGAGAGTATTGTGGTGGTCAAAAGGAGTTTTCAAGTGAGATTTCCAAAAAGAATTGAAGAACTGTTCAGGCAAGGACACAAAGGCACTTTCCAGGCATCGGGAGCGGCGGAGGAGAAGCTTCAGCATTAATGAGATTTTTTTGGATTGGATGTGAAAGGCGAGAACTAAAGAGGAAGGCCATAGGTCTCAGACACCAGCAGGTCCCCAGAGGGTGTGGAGAAAAGGAAGGTAAATGTGAATGGCATATGAAATGAACCTGTTTTGTCTGGAAAAGGTGTTGGATTTACTTGTGCTTACCTGATGAGGCAGATGGCTGGATATGATGGGTACAGACATGTAGGGTGATGCTCCAGCTCTGAGCTGGATGCTTTCTAGTTGTGTTGTGTCCAGTTCTGGGCTCCCCAGTTCCAGAAGGACAGGGAACTGCTGGAGAGGGCACAGCAGAGGGTACAAAGATGATGAAGGGCCTGGAGCATCTCTCTGCTGAGAAAAGACTGAGGGACTTGGGTCTTTTTAGTCTGGAGAAGAGACTGAGGGAGGATCTGGTCAATGCCAATAAATACTTAAAGGTGCTGAGAGCTCCAGCAAACATAAGTCAGAATGAGCTTATTTTTCACTGGAGTGGAAATTGTGTGTGCCAGGACGTGCACCAGCATTTGGGAACAGCCAAGATAATATCAGTGGTGAATTTAAATGTGCCTTTCTTTTAAAAAAATGGGAGTTTTGCAGGTTCTTGATTCACATCACATCTTCTATCTTGATTACGTTATATATGACACACTCTGTCCTGCCACTGACGTGCTGGAGCGATACTGGGTTATAAATATACCTTTTGCCACTTCAGCTTGTGTCATCACCCATCACTGGTTGAGGCGTGCCTGCTATTTTGGGGAGGAAAACGCTGTCTTCGCAGTTTCTGTAACTGGCTTAGCATCTCACGTGGTGGCATTGCTGCTTGCTCATGTGCCTGATGGTTGTCAGGTTGTACTGGAGCATTGGGATGGTGACAAAATCAGGGTTGATAGATTGGGTGATAGCTCTCATACCGTGTGTGTCCCCCCCCTTGGATGCTGCAGAACTTCCCATTGGAGTCTTGGCATTTTTAACCTGTCTGAAAATATCTGATTTATGTGAAATCCAGGGAGAAAAATCAACAACTGCAAAGGATAATCCGTGGGCAAACAGCGTGGAGAGAAGCAGAGAGTGTTCCCTATGTGCCAGCTGTTTGGCAGTGCTGATGCCCAAAGTTTCACATTTATTTCTCCTAAAAAACCAAAACCCAACCAAGCTTCCAGCTTAGACCCTTTGAGAAAACAAGTCTTTTCTTTACCTGGATCTTCCAAACTGATATTGCTAATGGGCTTAGTAGAGGCCACGTACTCTAACGTGCTTGTCACAATTCTTCTCCAGCTAATTTGAAAAAATAACAGTGGTTGTGTGCTGAGCTGGATGTCTTCTGCTTCCTCATGCAGTGAGACATCTCTGCTGAGAGAGGACCAGGGGGAAATCAGTAAATCTCGAGGTGCTGGGGCTGTCAGCATCGCAGCTGGAGGGATATTGAGAAGGAGGGGGATTCAAAGAAGTAAATAAGATCGTGCAGGATTAATGAGGGGGAGCATCCTAGGGAGGACTAGTGAGGAAAGTTATTTTGGGTTTTTCTGTCGGGTGTTGGTGACTTTGGACCAGGTTGTGCTTTCCATCTCTTGACCTCACCTGCGGGTCTTGTTTCACTGTTGGCTTTTGTACCAGCTAAATTTCACCGCTTGCCCTTTCCTCCTGCCCTCTTTGTTGCCTTGGCCTTGGGTCTTCTCTGAGCCCTGGCCCATCTGCTCTCACACTGACTTCTCACTCAGCACATCCACGTTTCCAGGGAAACCTGCTTTGCTCTGGGTTTTGGTGATGAGAGAAATGATGAGAATTCGTGGAGCTCCAGCCTTGGGTAGGAATGCAAACCAGAGGGGGCAGGTCCTAGGATGCATTTTGAAATGCAGAAGTTGAAAGCATCAGCAAATCCTGCAGCTCCTAATGTTGGCTGATTGTTGTTGCTACACAATTGGCTGGGCTGAGTGGTGGGTTATTTTAATTTCTGAAGAACAGCAATAATGATACAGTTTATAGTGGTGCAATTTCTGAATTTGGCTCAACTGGGCTTTTTTCCCTGACATTTGAGCTCAGTGTGAACTTGTAGAACCGTGGCAGAACTTGAAAAAACTGCCTTCTGCTTTCTTTTCCAACTTCTTGGAACTTTTTTTTTTTTTTGCTTTTGCAGATATGAACCTTAATGCCAGGTTTTGTCTATTAAAGACCTGTCTGAACCCTTCGGTCTCCTTTCCACTCCAGTTGTGAGTTATTTGTGCCAAAATGAGTCTGCAGGAGTGAGTCAGCATCTTCCTTCAGACCTTCAATAGCTGCTTCAGGGGAAGGTCAGCCAAAAATTCCACTACTTGTTGCACCATCTGGAATTAGCCAGAACCATGCCTTTCTTTTAATTTAATCCCTGGTTAATTTAATTACATTCTTATTAACAGGATAATTATATTTTTAGAAAAACCCAAACCAGCCAAACTTGAGACCTCTAGCATTTATTTTTATTTTTTTGAGCAATTTAGGTAATTGATTAAACTACTGGCTGTTGTTAGTGCAATTACCTGAATTGGCACTTGCTTAATAATGACAGTCAAGAAAGAGCTGTTTGGGGTAAATCAGCCAAAGAATATCAAGGGGAAAGGCATTTAATTTCATGTAAAAGTCGTCGTTCAGGTTATGTTACTGACATAAATGTGGTCATGTTTCACACAAGCAGTTTTAGACCTCTGGGTGGTCAGTTTTAGACCTCTGGGTGGTCAGTTTTAGACCTCTGGGTGGTCAGTTTTAGACCTCTGGGTGATCATCTACCTGATAAAATGAGCGATGAAGTTGAGGGAAAGTGATAGGATTAGGTTAATTAATCCTTAATAAGACAGCAAGTAGCTTTGAGGTAGCTGGACGAGAGGGGCTACGTAGGGATGGATGAGATTTATTTATCTAGCAGGGCTTGCGAGTGCTGTAATGTCTAAATACATAATATTTATTTGTAAATTACCCTGGCTTTCAGCACTTGGAGAGCAAGGCTGGTGGTTATCAGTCCTAATCATTGTTTGCTGCTTGGTTTTTCCATGCTAACGAGGTCCCCTAGCTAAAGCGTTGCGTGCAGGTATGTGTATTTCTTTTTTTTTTCCTTTCTGGTGCTTTTCCTGAGTGTTTTGCATCAAATAATTTGAATGCAGATGGGATGCTGATGGTACAGAACTGGGAGGGGTGGCTGACACCAGAAGGCTGTGGCCCCATCCAGAGAGACCTGGACAGGCTGGAGAGCTGGGCAGAGAGGAACGTCATGAATGGGCAGAGAGGAACCTCATGAAATTCAGCATGGGCAAGAGTAGGTGCTGCACCTGGGGAGGAATAACCCCCTGGACCAGGACAGGTTGGGGCTGACCTGCTGGAGAGCAGCTCTGAGGAGAAAGACCTGGGAGTCCTGGTGGACAACAGGGTGCCCATGAGCCACCAATGGGTCCTGGAGGCCAAGAAGGCCAAGGGCATCCTGGGGGGCATCAGGAAGAGGGTGAGCAGCAGGTGGAGGGAGGTCATCCTGCCCCTCTGCTCTGCCCTGGGGAGGCCCCAGCTGGAGCACTGGGACCAGTTCTGGGCTCCCCAGTTCCAGAAGGACAGGGAACTGCTGGAGAGGGGACAGCAGAGGCTACAAAGATGATGAGGAGCCTGGAACATCTCTCTGCTGAGGAAAGGCTGAGGGACTTAGGTCTTTTTAGTCTGGAGAAGACTGAGGGGGGATCTGATCAACACCTCTAAATACTTCAAGGGTGGGTGTCAGGAGGATGGGGCCAGGCTTTTTTCAGTGGTGCCCAGGGACAGGACAAGAGGGAATGGCCACAAACTTGAACATAAGAAGCTCCACCTAAAGATGAGGAGGAACTTGTTTGCTGTGAGGGTGGCAGAGCCCTGGCAGAGGCTGCCCAGGGAGGTGGTGGAGTCTCCTTCTCTGGAGACATTCAAACCCCACCTGGCCACGTTCCTGTGGGACCTGCTCTGGGTGGCCCTGCTCTGGCAGGGGGTTGGACTGGATGATCTCCAGAGGTCCCTTCCAACCCCATATCGTTCTGTAACTCTATATATGTGGAAGTAATATGATTTTTTTTTTCTCACCATGGAGTTTGGTGACGTTTGCCTGAGACTTTTCTGTGCTATTGATTTATATCTTCTGGCCAGGCCCAGTGGTACAGGCAGTGCTGGGGTCTGCAAAGCTTATTCATTGCTGGAGAAATTAGCAGAAGGCAGAAAAATGCCTGCTGCATGATTTTTTTTATTTTATTTTTTTTTTCCTCTCTATCTTTTTTTAGCTTGTCAATGACAAGCCAACTGCTAGCATTTATGGGAATGAATTATGACTAAAATAATTTGCATTTAAAATGCAAATGAATGAAAGCGTCAGCGAGGAGCCTTCTGCTTCCTTCCCGGTGCGCAGACGGGGCGCTGGCATTGGATCAGCCCAGCCAGGCACCCGCTGTAAAATCAACTTAATTGGACTAGCTGAGAAATGAAATGGGCTCCAGCCTCATGCTTAATTCCTGGGCCTGTGATTTAATATGATATTGAGAGCGGAAGGATTGGGAAGGTGCTGAACCACTGACTAAACCCAATCTCCAGAGCTGTAAATTACCCTGCTGAAATTCCCCGTGGCAGATTGAGAGGCCCCCAATAAAACTGCAAAAGGTGAATAAAAAAAAAAACAAAAACCTCGCTTGGAAGCAATTTGTCAGGATCTCCGGGCTCGCCTGAATTAGAGTTTAAGTTTCATTGTTCTTTTCCTAAAAGTTGTCTGGTGTAACACTGCCTGAATGCCAACCGGGACTGCCGTTTTGTGCAAGGTGAAAGCTGCCTGTGGATTTCACTGAATTTCACTGAATTTTAGAGTTGGAAGGGACCATAGAGATCATCTAGTCCAACTCCCCTGCCAAAGCAGGACCATCCAGAGCTTGTCAGAGCATGTTACTCAGGAGCATCCAGGTGGGGCTTCAAAGTCTCCAAGGAAGGGGACTCCACACCCTCCCTGGGCAGCCTGTCCCAGGGCTCTGCCACCCTCACCGTGAAGAAGTTTCTCCTCATATTTGAGTGGAACCTCTTCTGTTCCAACTTGTGCCCGTTGCCCCTCGTCCTCTCACTGGGAACCACTGAAAAGAGTCTGATTCCCTCCTCCTTCAACCCTCCCTTGAGATACTTGTAGGCATTGATAAGGTCTCCCCTCAGCCTTCTCTTCTCCAGACTAAAGAGTCCCAGCTCTCTCAGTCTCTCCTCATAAGGGAGATGCTCCAGTCCTTGAATCATCTCTGTTGCCCTACGCTGGGCTCTTTCCAGCAGTTCCCTGTCCCTCTTGAACTGGGGAGCCCAGAACTGGAGGCAGGATTCCAGTTGTGGCCTCCCCAGTGCAGAGCAGAGGGGGAGAATGACCTCCCTTGACCTGCTGGCCACACTCTTCCCTATGCAACCCAAGATACCATTGGCCTCTTGGCCACAAGAGCACACTGTTTGCTCATTGTCATTTTACTGTCCACCAGGACCCCTAGATCTTTCTCTTCAGTAGTTGCCTCCAGCAGGTCCACCCCTAACCTGTGCTGGTACCTGACATTCTTCTTCCCCAGGTGCAGGACCCTGCACTTTTCCCTGTTGAACCTCATGAGGTTCTTCCTTGCCCAGCTCTCCAGCCTGTCCAAGTCTTGCTGGATGGCAGCACAGCCCTCTGTGGTGTCAGCCACCCCTCCCAGTTTGGGATCATCAGCAAAGTGGATGTGAAGCTGGTTGGTTTTCCAGAAAACCCCTTTTCAGCCAAACCAAGAAACCAGTGGTGATGCATCTCAGAACGTAGCGTTTTCTTGTTGGAAGCTTAAGGTCAATTTTCTGCATCGTTTGCTGATTTCTGGGCCTGTAGGTGCCAGGAGGACAACGTGAGGAATATTTTTGTGTACCAATGAAAGAAGTGCAGGAGGAATTCAGTGTAATCTTTGAGTGCAGGAGGTGTTGTGTATAATCCTTCAGTGCGTTTGTAGCAACGGTTGACTTGTTTCCCCTTTAATAGGACACAGAAAGTCTAAGACAGCAGAACTTGAGCACGGTAAATGGGAAAGCACATGTTGGTAAAGCCCAGTCTGCTTTATTCTGGCAGTGTGGTCCCGTGGTGTAGTAGCTGGTGATAATACCTCATGCCTTCATTCTGTGTGTCACACTTGTTTTAATACCTCCATCTCTTTTTTTTTTGTTTGTTTTTATAGCCATGTTACTGAAGACCCCCTTGTCTTCTGGAAGCAGAAACACAGTGAAGAGATGAATCCATTCAGCCAGACCTTCCTCCAGTAGATTCCTCTCGCCATGGAGCACCACGGCGGGGAGGAGATGGACTCCAAAGAGGAAAGTCCTCAGGTGTGGGCTGACTCTGCTGAGCAGGAACAGAACACTGCTCAGGTGATTAGTGCCTTCCAGAGCTCTCTCTTTCTGTGCAGATTAAGAAAGGGTGGAACAAGATTCAAAGTCTGGAAGCTCAAGCTTTCATTTGAGGAGAAATCCAAACACCACTGTGGTGATTTGGGATTAGAGCTTCAGAAAGTGAGCTTTGCAAACCACAGCAGTGAATACACAGACGTCTGAAACGAGCTAAACGAAACCAGCCAGTGGCTATAGAAGTTTCAGTGTCCAAATATATGTGTAATCATGTGGGAAAGTATTCAGATTAATGAATATTAACAAAATCTGTGGTCTGTGGCAGCCCGTTTTGATGGCATCAGTCAAAATGGTAGGAGCTGTGGGTGGACCTCAGGGAAAGTAATATGAATAAATTTTTCCAGCCAGACATCTGGTAGTGGGGAAGGGAGAAATGTTAATTGTTAGTGACTAATAGAGTCAGGTTCTGATGTATGCAGGGAGTCCCTCTGCCTCCGAGACAATACAGCTGAGAGTTGTTAGAAGACTGTAAATTGATTTATTCTTTTGAATATGTTATGAAGAGGCTGCTGCATGTCATCTGACCCACAAGCTGAGAAATTCTGACTCTCCTGGTAATTTCCAGTGTAGAAATTTGCAAAGAAAGGCACTTTCCAATGGCCTGTGTTATCTATACAGTGGGATAGCCATACTGCTGTTTGCACATGGCAGTTATAAGGCTTTAATTAGCATTTGCAGAGTGTTCTCCAAATGTGAAACACCGTGTGCATCCTCACTGTAGTGTTTGCATGAGGATTTATTGTACAGAGTCAGCACTGAGCATCCACAGGGGACTACCAGGTGTCTTCTGAGGAATGAGCTTGAAAGGTGAAACAAAGTAAATAAAGTATCTTAAGTGTGGCATGGTTTTATGTGGAAACATTTTATATGAATATGGATACTAAAACCAGGTTTCCTGTTAACTGTCCTGTTTTTCCCATGCTCTGAAAGTGGTTTTCAGCATGTAAAGGGTGTCAAAAGATAAATCTTTTCCTATTGGCACTGGAATTAAGTATTCCAGCTCATTTTATGTAGGCCACTGATCATCATTTATGATCATAATGTTCTGTCAAAATCAACTTGTTTGGAATTTAAACTGCTGCCCCGGACATAACTTGTTCCAGTGGTCCTTGGAATCATTGCTTAATGCTTTCAGTTTTATGTTTTTCTGTTTAAAGAGTGGAATTTTCTACTGATACTGCATGTGCATATTACAGAGGAGCAATCTGACATACACTATTGCTGCCTCATGATAGCTGCAGGACTATTACTTGGAGCAGTGGCAGAGTTAATAGGTTCTGTTCGCCGTTCATCAAACAGGAAAAAATGACTTCCAACTACAGAACTAGCCGAGGGAAGGAATTATCATAAATCCAGAAAGGAATATGAGAATAAAGGGGAAGCTCTATACCAATAAATTCCATTGATGCACCAGTTCAAATCCAAACTTTCTTTTTCATGTGTTTTTAAAGCATCATGCGAGAAGGAAGTAGGGGTAGGTGCCTTTTATACCAGCTCGATCTTGAGTTAAAACACAGAAACTGATGGTAGTTTGTCTGGATTTTTCCATTGGAAGCATAATTCTATGAGATTTTAAATGCATATTGTACAGTAAATTTTTAATTGTTTTCTAAACAATTGGCTGGGCAGCTGGAACACAAGGTAGGTGGGAGTGTTGATCTGCTTGAGGGTCGGAAGGCTCTCCAGAGGGATCTGGACAGACTGGATCAATGGGCCAAGGACAACGGGATGAGGTTTAATAAGGCCAAGTGCCGGGTCCTGCATTTTGGTCACCCCAAATGACCCCCTTGGTCAACCCCAGGCAACGCTACAGACTTGGGGCAGAGTGGCTGGAGCTGCCTGGAAGAAAAGGATCTGGGGGTGTTGGTAGACAGCAGGCTTAACATGAGCCAGCAGTGTGCCCAGGTGGCCAAGAGGGCCAACGGCATCCTGGCTCGTATCAAGAAGTGTGGCCAGCAGGAGTAGGGAAGTCATCGTGCCTCTGTCCTGGGCCCTGGTGAGGCTTCACCTCGAGGGCTGTGTTCAGTTTTGGGCCCCTCACTACAGGAAGGACATTGAAGTGCTGGAGCGTGTCCAGAGGAGAGCCACCAAGCTGGGGAGGGGTCTGGAGAACAAGTCCTATGAGGAGAGGCTGAGGGAACTGGGCATGTTTAGTTTGGAGAAGAGGAGGCTGAGGGGAGACCTCATCGCCCTCTACAACTACCTGAAAGGAGGTTGTAGAGAGGCAGGTGTTGGCCTCTTCTCCCAAAGGACGAACAACAAGACCAGAGGAAATGGTCTGAAGTTGGGGCAAGGGAGATTTAGATTAGATATTAGAAAGATTTACTTTACTGAGAGGGTGGTCAGGCCCTGGAAGGGCCTGCCCAGGGAGGTGGTGGAGTCACCATCCCTGGAGGTATTTAAGA